GAGCAAACAATATGATAATGCGGATTGTGGCAATACTCTATCCCCAGCTATGTTGCTTGATCCAGACTCCTAGCACGGCGAATAGTAAGAAGACGAAAACCTCGGACACAAACTTTAATAATCCAACAACACACGATCAACAGGCGATGCCCGGAGCTTCCGAACCCAAGTCAGTGGGAAGAATGGTATCCTGTACGTGGTCGGATTTACATTTCCTTGGAGTATCAATGGGCCATTGATTTTTCATAGTTTGACCTTGAAGATGCCAGGAGTTCGCTAGCACACATAAAAACAGCGTTTTCTGGGGATATTGATATCCCCAGCAGTTCCAATTAACCTGAAAATTCTGGCCCCAAGGTTTAGAATGTTCTTTATATATGCCAGTTGTAAAGTGCTACTACAAACCAGGTCAAACCAATTAAATCTGGGGGGATATTGATATCCCCAGCAGTTCCAAATGACCTGAAAATTCTGGCCCCAAGGTTTAGAATGTTCTTTATATATGCCAGTTGTAAAGTGCTACTACAAACCAGGTCAAACCAGATTAAATCTGAATATCCAGCTTGGATATCAGCTAACTGAGGTGGGTGAAAACGCATTGAATGGTCCAACGAGGTTGCGACAAACTTAGAAAGAATCCATCTCCCGAACCCATAAGGCTTTGGCCAATCTGAAATTTACGGTATTTTCTCTGTCAATAGTTGTTTCCCTGAGCTATTCTAAACTAAACCGAAATTCCCATCGAATGATGTTTCAGCTCTTGATTATTCTGTTGCTATTCCAATGACCGCCGAATGGTCGTAATAGGAAGCTTAGTCCCACCGTTATTATGAATTGTTTCTAGAGGTTTTTTTGAATCTCTTGCTGGTGTCAAAGACACTAAATCGCTTAACGCGGTTTGGGAAATATTATTCGTTGAAGTAATGCACTTTAACTGGACATTGATTTATTGTCATGTTCTTACGATTATTGTTCAGGCCACTACTAGTTAATTTAAACTTGCATTGAACAGTAAACTGAATAGCAAAACACGTTTTCTATGGCCAATAATTATGCAAGCTGCCCTCGTACGCTGGACTGTGTTCAGTGAATGAGAGAAGATGGTTCCAAATTAATGCCCCCGTAGATTATATTATGCTCACAAACACGTTCACTACTTCTAATGATTTCTCTCAGAACTCCTCAGTCCGATGAAGACGTCCACCTCACCACGAGTTCATTCGAAGCCTTCTAAACTTATTCAGCTGTTATCCAGTGAGGAAGGTAAGTGGTGCTACAGAAAGTTTCATTACCCAGATTAGTGTACACCAGGATTTGCATATCTTTCCGAACTACGCTGAACTATACAGACCTGGATTGAACAACCATATTTTACCGTTTTTACCGAATCCGAATTAATAAATGAACTATATTCCGAAGTCTAAAGGAGTTGTGGGGCGAAACTCTGCAACCTATTTAATTCTACCCCTTATACAGAGCCTCAAAAGAGCATTAAAATCAGAAAAGTCTAGGTAGGGGCCTGTGTGGACTGTGGGTCACTTTAACAGACAGCTTTTATTGAATAGGTACAATGAATCAAACAAGCCCCGAAAATGCACTGAGACGTTGGGGACATGGATAGACACGAACGAAGAATGCAAGAAAATGTGACTCACGATTTCCGAATAGCTTGATAAAAACCATGCTGAAAAATGTTAAGCGATGGTTAACAATTGATGTTCGAAATGGAATCGCAGACGAAATCGGATGCAATATTTGCGACAATGTCGACTGGAGTGATTGTTTGTCTGATGACATAGTTGGGCAAGGTGTGCCTGGTTAACTGTGCAGCACGTGTCGGCTACTGCCGTAAAATGAGCTTCATGCTCAGTATTCGCATGAAGATGGGACGAACTCTTGCGTTTCGATGCACCTCATGGATGTGAACTGCGTGAGATAGGGCCAAGTGGTGCTAAGTATTTTCTCAGTTGAAGTTGGTCACACTGCCAATCAGTCACTCGTAGCCGAGTAATATCGTGCTCAACCAGTTCCAAATACGGAAAACCATCCAGTCGTTCTTGAATTTCCACTATTGATGAATAATTATTCTCAGATCACATGAAAGAAGCAGTTGATATTGCTACACTGGTACGGTCGTATAAGCATTGATTCCCTGTGATTGCATTATTCTAATCCACCTTAACTTCTTTATGCTTATGATTATGGCTAATGAGAGCCTTCTTTTTGTATTTTCCTATCAGACAACGTTTTATTTGTTTTCGTTTCAGGATCTTCGGACGATCGATTAACGGGGTACCGGCGGAAATGGAAGATTTTCTTGCAAGGTGAGCACTTCGACGGACCTTTTTCACGAACCGATTGTAGAAAAAACTGAGCCTGGAATTTGTCAGCTTAATATGATATCCTTTCGCACAAATATTTTATGTTGCACACGGCAAGTCCTTTGCTTTGCGCAAGCATTTCGTAACTGATTTGTGGCAACACACATGCTCAACATTGTAAATGCACCACTCTTTTGAATTCGTGGCGTTTTTAGAATCCTTTAACATCAACCCTGTCTGAATTACGGTTCTCAATGTACCACTCTCACACAAATGTAGATACAACTTGTTCTTCCGACTAATTTCCTCCAATCCCTTCTAGCCCGATCGGTGCCTAGATTTGTTTGATCTCCGCCACATACGATACGTTAGTGGTCAGGGTAGACTAATTTCCACAGCTCTATCTAGGTTCACATACTCGTCAGGATATGTGTGTTGAAAAACTGAAAAAAAACGGGAATTAGATACACCAACATAAACTCATGATAGGAGAAGCGCCATGTTACAGTTCAGCAGGACAGCACCATTTGACCGAANTTACCACCGAGAACATCAGTGCTCTTTTTAGGCATTTAATAGATGTACTACCAAACTCGGTTATGGCGAGCTTCTTTGTGGAAGGAAACTAATTGTCCGATTACCAACATCTTTCACCGTACGGCCGCATCAGAGACGGAACCATCCGCACAATGTCCGTAAACTAGCAGATGCGGTAATCAGTCTCAAGGACAAGCCATTTTTAAACCGAACAAACTATTTGCTCCTCGGATGCATCCGGGGCACCCACAACTGTTCCGTCCGAACATTTTCGAGAAATTCGGTATAATCAACTTAAGCATGGAGATTCAAGTGGATAATGGTCATTCTCACTTGGTATACTTGAAGTTTACTTGTTTCATCTGACAATGGACAACGGAGATTCCATCTGGGTAAAAAGGTAAAACCAACATAACCAGCTGAGAACCCGATATATGCAGAAGTGGATGAGCTTGACAAAGCATGATTTGTAAACACCAGACAACACGACAGGCAAATAGTACATAATAACCGAAGGTAATTATTCAACGTCATTCCAAACCGTAGTGAACTCCATGTGAGGAAGCCGCAACTTTATGCTAAATGCCCCGCTCATATGGACATAACAGCGTTAAGCGTGTTTATTATCGCAAGTAGCAAGCAAACTAGACGACGTTCATTGGAGATAATCAGGATGACAATTACGGTTATTTCTCATGTGATTTACTTTGTAAAAACGGATTTTCAGTGAACTACTAAGAGCTTGTGGACAAGACGATCAGTTCAGTTCACTTCAGTCTGTCAGCTATGAATCAGCTACTTAGGTTACGGTGGTTCCAGGTGCCGCAGTTTCGGTTACCGCTAAATGGGATATCATGGGAGATGTAGCAGGGCACTGGAGGCAGTTACATGATCCGTTAGTTCCCATTATCTATTGATCTGATGGAACGAACTAGCAGACTATAATTTAGTCTTATTTTTCATTTTCACATTTGGACATTTGTTTACCCAATGAAAGGGTATTACATCGTGCCTATTCGATTCGCAGATGGACCAGTGAACAATCAGTCTGTAGTGCAGCATGTCATTCAAAGGAGTTTGAAGTTCCCTATTCAAGCAGCACACATTACAACTATTTTACAGTAGGACCAAGTATGCTCGATCAGTTTCTGGTGTTCTTAATTGCATGAATAGGTCAGGATGTGAAGACCGGAAAACTGCTTTGAATGTTTAGACTGAAATCCTTGTCGTTACGCTTTATTGTTTCGCAGTTTTGGGAATCCATTTTTCTGCAACTCCTATGCTTTTCTTATTGTTTTGTAACATAATTGCATGAATAGGTCAGGATGTGAAGACCGGAAAACTGCTTTGAATGTTTAGACTGAAATCCTTGTCGTTACGCTTTATTGTTTCGCAGTTTTGGGAATCCATTTTTCTGCAACTCCTATGCTTTTCTTCTTATTGTTTTTGTAACAGAAGAGTATCCGAAATTTTCAAAGTGGAGAGATGCACCAATGGATGCACGCTTCATATGCGAAAGTTACAATCGTGAGCGACATTTTCATAAATCATGCGTTTTATTGCCCAGTGTTGGCAAAAACAAATGTTTAGGAGCGATTTCAATAGTACTGTTTTTAGTAGGGGAATTCGCGATTAGTATTCAAAATCAGACAGTATTAGGTGGTGACAGCCCGTCAAAACTTTTGAGAATGCAGGATTCTAGTTTATGGTTATTCTGTGTTTTTATTTCGGGCATTTGTGATGGCTGAAGAAATTCTCGCTTCTGTTCCATGTCCAATCGAATTCGTAATGCATCATTCGTAATCCGTTGTGAGGATGAAACACAAAACAACCCTGAATGTGCCTGAATGACAGCCTAGTTTTTAATGTCACCGCATCAATGCAATCTACCTGGCTGCCGAGTCAGAAAAAAAGAAAATTGGTTCTACACTGTTTTTAGGTTGCTTATTCAGCCTCACATTATCGGCGAGTAGGAAAAATGAACTAGGTCGGTTATGAAGTGTAAATAGCTTAAAAGGGAGCAGAAAAAGCCATTTAAGTACCAGAATAAGCATGCAACCTGAAGGTGTAGCATTTGGAGAAGTTGGTAAAGCAGCCTCCTGGATGTTAAAGAGAGTCTGCTGCTTGGTTTTCACTGTACAGTGCGCATGAAGCAAAATAATTAGCAAGTGAGTTGAAGACTCAGCTCGAAAAATGGTGAGTCGAAGGTTGTTCGAAACGACCCATCTGTTTACATTGACTTAGGCGGCTGAGGAGCTGAAAGAATGCGTTAAAACGCAGTTATGTTAATCTTGATCACACACGACTCCCGTAAGACAGAAACTGGTACGACGGTAGATATGGCCAATCTGTGAGAGGTTAACTGTCACCAAACTTTCCAAGGCTTTAAAAACAGTAGGGCTTGTACCGCCGGATTCACATCAGTAACACAACTTTTGGTTGAATCAAAGTGACCGTGATTGGTCACAACGTCTCGTGGAAGACCGTCTTTATTTACAACCCTAGAAACAGCTCTATTCTTTTTCGCAGAAATTCTACCTTCAAATACTATACTGTGTGTGTCATGGTTCCTTACATATGTATGTTTTTTTCCTCCGGGTCACGTACCACTGATTTTTGTCGTGTTTCGACCTTCATGTATCAAACCCATAGGTGTTTTTTCACTGGGTGCCAAATTCTCAGCTGTTAAGTTTCACACTAGCTCAGAGAGGAGTATGGACGTTCGGACCAAACCAAAAGGAACACACACAAAAACGGGGTTTGAGTTCCCGTAACGAGGGGAAAATGAAAGTGTCAGAGAGTTGCCGTCGGTTGGTGTTGGTAAGCATGAAATGAGCTACTTCTCGTTCATGTTCACACCAAAAACCCAGTATGCTTTGACCGTAAGTCGCACTGTGTGACGATCCTAATTCAACCCGCGTCACAGAATGCTCAAACCTGGTTAGCCATCTGAAGGTAAAACACTAGCCCACCGGTGCGACTATCCTTCTCCCTAGGATTACCCCTTTGCGGTTTATTAGACAAGCACTCGATTTTACTAATCTGCTTCGGGCCGTATGGTTTGATGCTTTCTGGCTGTGTCGCAGTCCACCCTGTGCCGTGCATATCGTCCTAGTGATTTATACGACAAGGCTTGAAATGGCTACCAGTCGCCAATTGCCTCGTATCTCGGTGAAACATTTGCATTGACTCTATAACGACTAGCTAGCAGCCCGACCCAGTATGTCTCATCTGACTGGCTGATAAATAAATAATAAAACATGACCTTCTTAGTAGTTCAGAAAATAACGCTTGGTTTGGTAATGATAGCCCTATACTGGTACTCCAGAGCACCGCTACCGATTTACTAATTGTCCACTATTCTATGCTTACTTTGGGGAGTCTTTCTCAGCTCGGTCATCGTGCCAATCGAGGTTTGGTCACAAAACATGTTAAAAACAGAGGACCCAAACACTCATGAAGCTACTCACAAGGTCAATAAATACTCCGGATAGTCTATGTCAAATCGGCAACTGCTGGTAATCACGCAAAATTAGCCTCGCGTCACATGGCTGACTCATTAAACCGGGTTGTGTTTGCATACATCGTTGAATTTCAACTACTGAACTATCGCCAACAAATCTCTGAAACTCGCGTTTTCTGACGTGTGCCGCTAGACTGCCCCAAAGTTATTCATTCCACTTGAATCAAATGTTTTAGATGCGGACTTATCTGAGCTTGTTATCCTTTCAGATGTGGAGCCGCCTTCTTTTCTGTTGCCCCCACTTCCTGGAAATGATAGGCAGTTGTGCGATGCCTACGATCGTAAGTCATCCTGTATTCCGTACGTCACCCGTGGTTTCGAGGATCGCCTAGGCATCAATGTTTTTTTCTCAGAGCATTTTCGTTTAAACAGACGTGACAGACATGATAAGGCTGTTTGGAACCCGCAAAGTTGCACCGGTTTGTGTTACGGAAAACCAAATTTCACTACCAATACTTTGGTTGGTCCGAGATGCTGCTGCGGTAGGTCCGAAGTGAAGTTTAGTATTTGATCACGAACTGTGCTGAAATCCCCTTTATGCTTCTCACTCGTCCTGACATGAGTACGATGAACCAATCAGTAAAATGTTGTCTAAAACAGGCTATTCAGCTTATTGATGTTACACATTCCTACTCAGCATATCCAACCATGTCTTTTAACGTTCATGTGCATGGACAGTGAACACGTCCCTCCTGCATTAATCCGACACACAAGTGTTTGGCAACATCATTTGATGTTGCACAGTCCTTTGAAAAAAAAACAGTCATGAGCTTTTCACTCTTCCACTCACTCCAGTTGCAGAGGCACGAGTTGCCCGGCTTATGCCAGAAATGGTCCGGGTTCAGTGTGATCTGACAACAGGATTGAGAACTTGGCCTCCCGTGGACTACAGGATATCTGCTGATAGCCTATTTAGAGGGTGTAGAAATAGGACGATCTTTTCCAAAGAGGACGACTCAATAAGGCATTATTTGTACTTACAGAGGTATTAAACACGTATTCGGGGGATCGCTAACTGCTAGAAAGTTGCTAGTTAAGGAACTTGTTAGTCGTAAAACCAGCGGTTACAATTTATGTTCCCTGATTTGCATTACAGGCTTCGTATTGGTGCATGGAGAACTGCCAGACGAGGAATATCCACATGATACTTCGGATGGGTGGGAGAAGTTGTATCGGTGTAAGACTTTCCAGCTACGATTTTTATCTTCCCAGAATTTATTTTCATGCCCCTTATACAACATAGATCCCATGGATTCGCTCATTGAAACTTCGTGTATTTTGCCACTTGTTCCTAAATTCCATTTCGTCAACTCATTGGTGTGTTCGTACGTTGCAATTCCAGGTCAAAGCTCAGTACCTGTTTGCCGGTTAGGTCTGCAATTTAAAATCTGAAATCTGTTTCAAAACCCTCCAATTACACACTATGTAGTACCACCGCTACCCATCACTCATCGTTTCAAACTTAACTAAACTTATGGACCCAACTTTTGTTGTGATTTACACAGTCAGTTTGATCACAGTGCTGTCTATCAATCTATCTTGGTCTACCCAGTCTACTTTGATGCACTGGAAAGCGTCTAGAACGCATTGTAGCGCATCAGGTGCATAATCGTTCTGAGTACGAAAGTCCAATAAATAGCTTCTCAGTGTATCACAGACTTTCAGCCTAGGTACTCCCAGCTGCACATGATCGAACGCAAGAAACCCGGTTAGCCTATGTATAAGTAAGCGCATAATGTGACGACATTCAGTCTCGAGAAACGACCTGTTGTGATCGAAATCTATGACAAACTGTCCCAAAGTCGCTGTAATTGAATTGCGATGTTAGAACTGGACATATGAGAACGCAGTGCCGAAGGGCCGTTGCCTCGATACACGGTTTATGTCAGAGGATAGATCACCATATACTGGGTCTAAAGTCAGGGTTTCACCACAACCTATTTGAAAAATCCATTCTTCTACTGGAGCAGTATCGATTAATAGGTAGTTCTGGGATGTGTAGTGTGGAAGCATGTGTAATTTATGGACGGGTACAACATATAGTTCGGGACAGAAATATATTATAACCTGGTTTGTGGAAACTTCCGATTTCACAGTTATGTTAATTTGTCTACACATCTTGACGCTAGGCATGAATCGACACTACCTCTTTTCATGGCGTTTAATTTTCCTGTGTCAATGCCATTATTCAATGCAGCAAAATATCCGACCGGAAGTGAAGACTATAAAAGTCTCGCTAGAATCACCGATGCCTGCAATCGTCTTAGAGGTAAGTGGGAGCATATATAGTAAAAAGTACATGTTTGCTTCTTTTCTTTGGAATCGCCGTGTGTGCAGACTGTCACAAGAGAGCATGACAGTGAGTTTCAAGACACCCACCTTGGAAGTACAATCGGAAACGACAGGTTGAAAAGTTGAGTACACTTTCTACTTTGCCTAGTTGTTTTCCAACATGGCAGTTAACATGGTCATTTGATGCACTTAGAAATGAAGCTGTTTGTCACAGTTTGCAAATATTGTGGGGCGAAATTATGTCTGTTCATTTATTTCTTTTGAGTAAATATACTCCATTCAGTTACTACCAAGCGCTGATAACAAGACTAGTTTAGTACCCACAAAAGTTCAAACCGTTTCTTGGCATTTCGTCTGACATTTTTACCTTCAAAATAGGAATAACGATATTAATTTGTATTTGTGTTTGTACTCCTTATTGATTAGAACTTGAAATGGCCTAAGTTACTTTTTCCGAGGTGATAAAGAACAAAATTCATTGATAGAAAACGCCGCCAACAATAGAGGTAAGAAACTGGTGCATTGGTAGTAGGAAACCATGTGAGCATCGGCTGTGTGATGACATCAGGAACATAGAAGCAGAAGTGTTACCAACGTTCTACAAACTGATAGCTGCATTTGGCAGTGGTGATACGGATTTGAAAAACTTCTAACCTGTCAGCAGAGTACTCCTCTGGGGAGAAATTCAGAATTTGATTATCCAGCCAACACTGCAACACAATAAGATAGTTCGAACAAAGATGGACCGAATCCAATGGCCGCAGAGGCAATCAGGTGATGGACCAATTACCGGCGAACATATCTTGACATCTAATGAAGTTTGGAAAGAGCTGCAAAAAATGCGGTTTATAACCTAATAAAAACCCACGGTCCTGCATTTACAGACTATGTTTTCTCAGAAGTGAAACGGGTCTTTGTTGACTGACCCTCGGGAAAACAAGGGTTCGGTATTAACTTGTTTTGTAGATGTTTGGCTGAGCCAGTAGGTCAGGTAGCTCGTTATTCACAAGGACGTATAAATGATTCAGTTTCATGCTCTAAACTGGATATTTCCCTGCACTCAGAAGGTAACATTCAAGGGTGCAATTTCACAAAAGCAACAGAATCCCAAAAACCTAGTTCCAATTTGATCCTGAGGTTGGTAACGCATTCCAAAACGCTCAACTCAATTGCGCCATGATGTTTTCACACCCAAGAGACAGCAGTTCAGGTAAATTTACATTAGACTCGAGCGTTTGAATACCTTGACTGCAGAATGTACTAGTGAATATACCTTGACTGGAGAATGTACTAGTGAACACGTATCCAATGAGAATCGGGACGGATGGAGTTGGATGACAAAACGACTAGAGAAGACAATTTCTGAGCATCATTTGAGAAGTGGTGTTCTTTGGAAGATTTCGGCATACTGTATTAAGCTTTTTAGCCTATTACTTAGACAGACGATTGCTTCCGGCGATAAGTTTACAAAACTGAGTTTGCTTCATATTGGGCGCTTATATAATTTGAACAAAAAACGGTTTTTATTGCGATGGTGTCTTGATGGTGCCTTATAACTGCTTTTATAGTAGATCTTCTATAAAAAAAACCGCCGAAAAGAATGGTAGAAACAAGGTTAAACGTTAGAACAGTCGTCACACAATACGTTCAACTTTCAATGAAAGCAGTTGCACTCTACAAGACAGTGAGGTTGTGAATCAGTTATTGATCGTAAGATAGGCCGCAAGGATTACAATACCGATACAGACTGCTCCTAACCTCAGAGCAGCAGTGCACTTCGACTGAACACAGCAGTTATCAAGATCCAAGCGCTATCCGTCCTCACTCTTCTGATACATAGAACCTGGAGTTGGATTTATTGAAGTGTGCTACCAACGCAATATTGATGGTTTATATAACATTAGGCTAGACAATCCTCACATACTTGTTCGACCAACACTCTGGTCTGGTTCCTTCCACAGGGATAAGACACAAGAAATAAGGAAACAAACTATGAAGAATTAAGAACCCTTTACCTTTAGTGCACCAAGAGGTTTTCCGCTAAACTTTGAACTTCTACCACTTATAAGTGGTGTTGTATGCAAGAACACAACCTTTCCTCTTGTGATGTTTAGATCTTGCTTCTCAGAGTTTGCCCAGATTGCTGATGTGGGATCACGAAACATTAGTATCTTGTACCGAGAGAATGTCTACCTCAGCGCAGATAATGACGTTTATTCTAATACGGAGGGCGAACGGGCCTCAAGGTTGTATAGAGGTTGATAACGTGCCGAAATATTGGCAGCTCGGATGAGTTTATGCGCGCACTCGCACTAATGGAAACGTTTGCAAGCCAATTGCCAAGGTCGGCGAACAGATCAACAGCTGTTAGCTAACCTGGGAACTATGGCCGAGAACGTTTCGTTACCAATCGAAATGATACCACCAGTGGTCATAGTTTAATGGAGTGACGTGACAGGTTTTTCTCTGTCAACTTGGTTGTTACAAAGGCACACTAGGGCACCATCTCAACGACAGAGGTTCCACTCGATCCTGCCAACCGCCCGAGATAGCAGGACCTTCGATAACAAGTCTGCTTAAGTGTTAAAATCAAAAAGGTCAGATTCGTGAAAGTAACCTTAGATTCCCAGGAACCTACTGAGGCGCTGAATCTCCACCAAAATCTCAATAGGAAAGCCGGGAGGCGTGCAGGTTCGTCAATCATTCAATCAATTCAGCAGAAACCGAACCACACAAGCACGACCGAACATGATCAGCGTTCAGGCACTTCATAGAAGCACGATCTATGTTGAAGTGTGTTCACTAGATGACTATCAGACAGCCTGGATCAATGTCAAAAAGTGCTCTTTAAATAGCGTGGGGCCGTTGCAACTTTTGCACTCGCACGCACTTGTCTGTTGCAATAAAGCTGCTGTTGTGTTCATTGCCGGTCAGTTTTTTCTGGCACCAGGCACCTGAGCGGGAAGAGCAGTTAGATATAACAATTGGTATATCTGAAAAACATTTGGAATCATGTATACACGGTTTATCCTTCATTTTCATTGATTAGAACATGCACTTGCACCAAACTGCATTCGTTTTCTGAAAAAAATTAAACAACAGTTTTATTGTTCCAAATGTTTTGAATCGGTAATGTCCACAAACATCAAATAATTCAATTGAGTAAATACCAGTTAACCGATTGTCACTGTCTTCAGTGCCTGGCTGTCGGACCTCTCCCCAATTTTTCAGTGACCGTATCTATAGCAATCGGAACCAGTTTACTCTTGCTTGTTGCGTTGTTTATAAGTGACAAGCTGAATTGAACTGAAATGAGAAACGTTCGAGCAGAAATATGGGAACGAAAATATCTTCAGCCGTAATGGCTACTGAATAAAAAGCCATGGTTTTCCATCATTCGCCCTCCATGGTTTGTACAAAGAAATGTCTTGTGCACTTGGGAGTACCATTTATTAACCCTAATCCCACGTATTCGCTTACCTTCGTTTTGGCTTCACTCTTACCAGGTCAAAGCGAAGCGTCCTCCATTCCCCCTGATTCTGCTTCATGGACAGTATTCGTGCAAGGTGAGTGTTGTTACCTAATGGTGAGTGTTGTTTCCTAATGGTTTCGTGTAGCGCCTTCACCAGAATGGTTGACTGTGTATCAAGTTAACTGCAAGGTTTTCGTACAGACTGCGGTGAAAAATCGATTTCTACGTATGTTCCACACTTTTCACCAGTGGTGTGTATGCGCATGTGCAAGCACCTCATACAATGTTATGGTAGCTGGTGTGTAATTTAATACCGACTTGCAAACTTACGAAGAACGAAGTCTAAATTGAACGGGCGACGACCAGACTTGACAGTGCACATCGTGCATGCCCTGACCAAGTACGGATCCCACTATCCGAATCGCAGAACAGTGGTGCATGTAATCGTGTCAAAGAGAATAAGTTAAGTGTAAGGAACACGAACCTTCCGAAATCTGGTCTTGAATGACTTTCTGTGAGGTACTTTGCTGAGGAAGAGCAAAATTTTGACCCCTGTTTGAGTGTTGTTTCTCGCCGAAAGAACGTTTTTATGGGGGATCGAGCAAAGTTCAACGAACTGATCAACAGCCACCCGATCGATTACCAATTTATTCTTTGAGATGTATGCAGAGCACTTGCTGGTCACCAAACTTGTATCGTAAGAACCCCAAGTCTCTATCATCCACACAACACGATGATTAATATACATATATATATATATATATACATTTATATGTATTTATAATAATGTATTCACGAGAGGCACACTTAAATCCTAACTGAATCTCTCGTTCATGATGATCTTCAAGGGAATGTGCCACCTAAAGACCGTTCCATGTTTCATCTGGTAACGTATTTAAAACAGCACAGGTTCATCATTGAGTGTAGGTCAGTACTTATTGGGCGCGATAACGGTGGACCTAGTTGGAGGTTAGAAACGTGTCCACAGAGGCGTGCTGTCTCACAGGCCTCCCACATCAGTGTAATTTAATGCCCAAGGAACATTTTGCTGTGATTGACCGCTACTTGTCTGTGCTTCATTTTCGTCAGAAAACTATCCGGAACTCGGAGGTTGGAAAGATGCACCCCTAGACGTGCAGTACGTGTGTGAAAGTCATATATGTAAGTCTTATTGGCTAATCTACGGTATTCCTGGAATAATCCGGTTGGAGCTTTTTTTGTTTCCTGTCGTACAATATGGATAAATAATGTGATCACTTTTATTTCACATTGCGCGTCCGTCAATGAGTTCCGTCAACCGCCGTGTGTGTTCAAGAAGTAACCGGGATAACCAATTCCGAAATTTGTTTCAATTACGAGAGGGTGAGAGTTGTTCACGATTTGGTCGCCCATAGTGGAAGTCATTTGTTGCGCACATAAAACAGGTGACTGGTGGTAATGCGGAATCCAAGTGAATCCCACCTGGATCGCTGGTTTCCAACCGAATTTTCAAGAATCACACAAGAATCGTACAACAATCATGTCATGTTTCCGTCGGGACGACATTCAGGAATTTCAGCATTATTCCTCACATAGAACTACTGGTAAGGTTGTTGAAACGACTTCTACCGCTGGGTCCGTCCTTTCCGGAACTCACCAGTGGGATCCAGTTTCCATAAATGCTACCTCCTAAATGAACATGCGTTGTGTCCAAGTGGATTCGTGGATCTGAGTGGATTCTCATATGCAAACTAGGCTTCTGCCATTTACTATTTAACATATGGGTTGGAAGGGTCTTACCACTTCATAACCGGAAGTGCTTTCCAACAATGACCAACATATGGATTGATTAAGACGGAATACAGCATAACCGTTAGTTACAGATGCTGGAAGTTGGTTCCTCTTATCTAAAGAAAGTGAAGGTTGTGATATGGTCAATCAAAAGTTGCCCTAACAGATCATTGTTTGGTGTACGTAAAACCGAATTTCCAGACAGCAGTTGGATTTAGTCTGGAGGAAAGGGATTTAATACGGATGAAAATTTGTTATATCAGAATCAGATTGAATATCACTGAGCAGTTTTTGCTGGGGTCAACTCATTCGTTCTTTTTCGGAAAATTTCAGTGGATCCAAGATATAGTGGAAAATCATGCATATGATATGATAAACAGAGAATTTCGGTCGTCATCAAAGTGCCAACATGTGCTCATTTTTTAGTTAAAAAACTCGAACTAGTCCCCCCAGACAATTTAATTGGGATTCGAACAAAACACGTTACGAATGAAAAACTCAGAGCTAAACCCGTATCGCTTGTAGTGGGTCATACGGAGTTCTAGATTGTGTGGTACCGGTGCCATCCATCCACGTGTCCTGCAACGCAATTCAAGCAGGTGCGTTGTATTCGAAATGAACTAGTGTCGAGTACCGCTAGACAGGTCCGTAATGTGTAGCCTCATACCACAAGAGGTTCTCAGCCTGGATCATAATAAACTACCAAATTCCGCACGGCTACAGCGACTACTTTAGAGTTGTGCGTTCAGGCCCCAGTTGCGAGTTTTGCTTCATCTACCCCGATTATCTCCGGTCCAGTTTCGGATTACATAAAGCAAGTAGTTGAGCTTGAATAGTCGGAATTCCAGGCTTCAAAACATAAAAGAATTATGTTCCGGAAAGTAAAGAGTTAATTTTCGTCAACCGAACAATTACAGAGTCATGTTAAGCCCACGGTTCCCACTAGTAACGCACATCTGCCTTGGTTAAACAGGAATTCGTTCAAAACTCATGAGAATTGGATTGTAGATGCTGGGGTTCTCCTCGAAAATACTATGGTTACCTGAAAAATCATTTGTCGCCCTGAAATTTGGATAGTTACTGACGTCTCGGAATCAACGAATAACAGTAGCTAATAAGTTGCCGTAGTAAGAGAGGCAAACCTGAACACAGCTCCCAGTGGTTACACGCGTTTTCACCTTGTTGAGTGTGGTTCAGTCAGCCGTATCTGAATGGGAGACGTTCATTACGTTTACAAGATAGTTGCAGTGGTAAACATGCGACACCAGGTTTTATTTCATTTTGCTTTCTTGGCGGCCATATTTGGACCACGGAAGACAAACCTACAAAATTATCACTACCATCTTTTGAAGCACAAAATTCGTGTTGTGCTACCGGCAACCGTAAGCTGCATGAAAGCCTCATGGTGAGAAAATTTACAAGAGAGAGGTTGCTAGCTCGTTAAAGATATTTTTGACTGCTCAGACCCCCAGGATCCGTCAGAAAATCTTGACAAAGCATTCTCAGTGGTTAAACAGAGTACGCATGTTTTGCGTGAATCTGAAAGTTGCAACAGAAAGCGGCAGCGGACGAGTACGTGATCGGTGTCCACAGAGGTATTTCGAGGGAAACAGCATGCGGTGATCGGCCCTCTCCATTGGCGACTAAGGTCAAAGTGGTCAATTTAGATCTGGGGCTGGCCGCTGGTTTAGAACCGCGGGACAAAAGGATTTCCAGTTTCAGCACCGCAAAGAAGCACTATGTACGCAGTGTACACCTGCAGTGGGCGCTGTCCGTTTTCGGTACACCGCGTCACATTAGACCAAATCCGAACTGCGCTAGGATTAGTATCATTGGTGGGAGACTCAGCGGGCTGGGGTTCGAATAAGCGAATACTCCCACCCACCTTTTACCGAGGATAATACATTAAAACATAACAACACGAACTCACTGCCAGTTTAATGTGACCTCTCACGTTCTGTGCGTATTCATATTTTAGATAAACGAGGAAGTCCGGAGCGATGGCCGCCATTTCCTGATAAGGGGAAAGAACTTTGTGAAGCCTATGATTGTGAGTGTGCTCCTGTTTTGAGCTTCTCAACGCCAGCTAGCTTGAACGATTGCTAACATACTTTTCGCTTATGTGTCCTGCAAATAAGAATGGCGGTATTTACCAGTTATGCTGTAAAGAAGCAACTGCAAGAAAACACAGCTATGTTACTACCTTTCATTTATCATTCACAGGTGACGATCTACGTATCAAGAAACTCGCTACATCGGGGGCTTTGCCGATTCGTATGGATTTATGTACTGAGTTTGTTCAACTAATTAACCGAAAAGTAGCAGGGCATTGGAGTCATGAGTACTCCGATCTTGTTTTAGAATACCGAATAGTAGCCACCCTAGATATCCGGATTTCTTCAGGATTTGGTTCATCTTAATATTTTCAGGCGTGCAGAACTCCTATAGCGTCTCCTCCGATTTCTGAATTCTGATAGACTGTCATTCCAGTTTTTGATTTTTCCACCTCCATGCTCTTCGGTGCCCTAGACTGACAGTTTTTGTGTGAGACATAACAGTTCCTTATTGAGCAAGCTCGGTTGGTCGCACATGTTAGTCGAGGAGTTTGACTCAAGGCCCATGGGCCCAGTTGAACAATGAGGCTGGACCTGTCCTTCGAGACTCATCTTGTATCGTTACCCGAATAGTTACGAAACAAAATCGTCATGTTTACAAACTCGATGGCTCTAGTTTTCTACGCGCAACTCTAGTTTACTGTCTGACTCAAGTTTAAAAGTGCACGTAAGTGAAGCAATGGGAAAGTGCAGTCTAACCTGGGTAGGAGACATCAGTGGGCCTGAAAGTAATCTTCATCTGGCGTCAAGAAACGGCAGTTGGCTTCCGGTGCAGAGTTAACAGCAAGATGGTAGCTCAAACTCCCACATCATAGTTTAACTAAACTTCATGTGTACACCGGTGGTTGACTGCCTATGCGTCTCTGTTGCCGAACAGCTAAAAGCACGTTATAACCTTCTCTTTTTAGGAATTTCTCAGCATTTTATGGGATTTTTAAACAAAAGATTCTTCCGACGGCCAAACAGGATTCTTGGTGTGATTCGACGAAAATTTGGAGATCTGAAAGCACGATGATTTACGGGTCTGAAATGCCTCATGATTCCCTTTACATCTAGCGAATAAGTGAAGTGTAAAAAATGTACATTTGCAAATACCCTTGAGTTTCCTTGGTAATTAGTGCACTACCCGTTGGTAGCTGTACATCGTCTTTGCCTATTTCACCTATTATGCACCGTAAACTGTGAGAAATTGGTTTAGTAACGTCAAACTGATGTAATGTAACCGTATCATTTTTGTATCATTTAGTAAAGCCAAATTTAGTTGTTTTTGGAGTATAAAGCGTTAGATATTACCTCTACTTCCCACGTTTGTTGTCCACGTTAGTCGTGTTAGGGTGTATGGACTTCGGTCGTTCTACACACTCCTGACGTTAAAACGTATCGACATTTTTGAATGATAAAAGTTATGGGATTATTGCGATATCCCGGCAGGGGCCTTGAAATACGCCGATGAAAACGTGAAGATGGCTTGATGTAACTCTAAGATGTTTTACCTGAGCATGACATCGGAGGTTGAACATGCGTTGGAATATTTGAAGTTCACGAGGCGTCACTCAAGAATTTCTAGCGACACCGCAGGATTCTTATCGAGTCATGTCACTACTTTTCATTGAAGTATGATGAAAAATATCAGGGCCCCTTAAGGCGAATTTGGAAGGTGTTTGCCCTACGGATATCCAGTATTACGGTCCGTTCCACGAAGGTGCACTTTTTTGTTTCACTTAGGTCATCTCTAGCAAAATTGCAGGTGGTTATATGTAATGCATACATAGTGGTCTTTATGGGCCTACGTGCTATAAAAGTGACAAGAAATATTACGAAAATCACTCCATGGGAGATAGTTTGAAGGTCAGAGGCATTTCTGACGACTTGAATGTTCGGGATGCATGATGATTGCCCAAGTTAAATACCGCGCTGAAAGGGAACCCCAGAACGTTTGGTGTGGTATTCAGCTCAACTGTCACCTTTTTGCTATTGGGTTTCAAAATTACACGCCTTCACTGTTAAGGTATTCTGTTCTGTGTGACGAAACACATTTTAGAATCGGCAGACCATACATACGCTGGATAATAGAGAGAGAGCGAGTGATGAAACCTAGAAACGGTTGTGTGCAGTGTGCTTCTGAATCTTCCCTCCATGTATAAGTTTGCCAAGTGCAGGTGCGGAACGGGCGGACGCAGAGGGCTCCACCACATACATCGCGTTTGCGGCATGTGCTCAAATTCACCACGACATTCAATAACTGCATGATATACGATATGGCAGTAGTGAGCAGATATACCAGAAGGCGTATATAAGGCACCAAACTCCACATGACTGTCAAGTATCCTTCCACTGAGGATGATTCTCCTATCAAAACTGCTTGAGTTTTCCCTCAAAGCCAATATAAAGATTATTAATTGAAGAATCACTTGACGTGGCTCATTTGCGCTAGCCTACAGAAACCATCCATCAATCTACACCCGTCTTTGCAAAACTGGATGTGATGGTGCTAGCTCGTTTCGTTTGGCGGCTCAGGTTCAGAAGATAATCCTAATGGGTTAATGTGCAACCTTGTCAATGAGCTCCAAAGTATCAGTCTCTATCTAACAGCGTGGAGTAAGTTAATCACCACTGATACGGAGACTGGAACAGAATGAGACGCACCTTTGGAAACACCGTCACTGATACGAATAGGGACGGAGTCAGTCAGCCTATGAGAGAGAGAGTAAGGGCTGAGATTACGTTCCCAAATTTCAAAAGCTATCATTCCGGTAACCGGTGACCAGACAGCTCGGATATTTCCCTCTTCATTTCAAAAACGGGGGGAAACCAGCTTTACTGAGTTTCAGAAAGTACTTAGCTGGGTTATTTTTCTCAATTAGGGGAAACTGTTGTCACTCGTTTTCATTTTGTAGGGACGGTGAAAGAACCGCTAGCTGACTGTCGAAGATTTTTGTTACTGGGTGAAATGCATTAGGCTCATGTCATCGGTTATCGGTACATTTCCCGTGGTAGTCTCTGCCGAGAAACGACTTGTATTAGAGTGTTGTGTTGGTATAGAGTCCTACTGCCCTACGCTATGGAACATTCACCATCTGATGCTTAAAGTTGATCGAACCGACCTCCTTTATTTACTTACAACTTCCTACAGCTTATGTTAAACGTTATGGAAGTATATCAACAGTAGAGGACGATATTTTTGAGTCGGACGGCTGGTGGAAAACCCTTCAAGGTAAGCTTACCAATGTGACTTTATCATTAACAAGAAGACTACAGTTATTGAATCGGTAGATTGGTTAAACCGCGGAGGTGAGAAAAGGTGTTAGATTAACTTTCCAAATTGGAAACATTTCACCTTGGGTTCCGAGGAAGATGAACTCGGACACTCAGCAAACCACTTTACAGTTCAGCGAAAAAAACTTGAACAAATTCATCGCGACAGCGGTTTTTGCGTGCCTTAATTTGCAGAGCACTTTAGGGCGACCTATGAAAATAAATCCACGGAGTGAGCTAAAATGTGCGCAAGGTTCCTGTGCGGCACTGCTAGTAAACTTATCTTTCCTTACAAAGTAACACTATTCGGAGGACGTCAAAATAGTTTTTATCTTGGAGAAATTGGTTCCTTAGTATTTCACATGGAAGACTGTTCTGTGAGAACAGCCTAATATGCAACATGGGAGCTTGCAATGTCATCTGTGATCACTGGTGTTGTCTTTTTTCTTGCGCTTTTGAAACATTACATGACTGCACCCCAGGCACTTGTTATCATCGTCACCATATCATCGACAGTGGTCCACGAGTAACAGCCATATGACGGTGGGAGATTGCCATTGCGGAGAGTGGAAGAGCTATAGGATAAACGTATCTAGGATTGACCCATTGTCCTCTGCAAACCGCACTTGACCTGAGCCCTCCAAAACACAACAGAAAAGTTTAGCTGGACAGTCCGTCTATGAAGTGACAGCATGCTCACTATTGAGGTGGGTTGCATATCAGGCCATTTAGGGTCACGTACATGGAGAATCATGTAGACCAAAACCAGGATGGATCAAAGATAATACAGCACTCCGTTTCTCGCTCGTTAATTTCTATTTTGGATGCGACTTTGTGACTTGCCACTCACAAGTCTTTCACCAACAGGAGCTCGGTAATCCAAGCAGTGCGGTAGGTCTGGGTAGGACTGGGTCTGAATAGAGTGAAGACTTAAAGAAGAAACACTGGTCCATATGAGCGTTGCGACTACATAAAGATATGAAAATTACAGACAGGGACATAGGGTGGAAGAATTTGCAACGGCTGAATGCTTTAATGCATTTGACTAGATATCATAATATCATTACACTATCACATCATTTACTCAGGTGGAAGCAAGTGGCTGGATGACTTTTCTGCGACCACTTCTGGATATTCTGAGAATGATTCGATATCTTGATACCACGGGTACATCACTGCCTGATGCTGACTACGTGGTTATGAATCTGTACTGCTGAGTCGTAGCACCAGTGCGACCCATTGTTGTGCGATAGTGCAGTTGAGTCACGCTGACCACGATGCTGAAAACAACTCTTACATATTCCGATAAGCTAGATAATCGCGTGGGCCATCGACACCGCTTTTGATTATCTGATAGTAAAGCAGCAAAATAATGAATACAAGATATCGCGTTTCCGCCAAGGCCGTCCAAATGTATCGAGATGGTTTGTAAATTGACGCGTGGCAAACCACACGGAGCTACTTCATCCACCATGGCTCCTAGATCTGCGAAAACTCTTCTGTGTTAGGATATCCTAAGACTTGACCTGGCACGAACATGTTGAAAAAGCTTCCTCACAATTCGACGACTTCCCCGGGACACTGGATATTTGGTGACCTGAATTTTCACACTGCACACTGCTTTGATGGTATGTAGCTTTCGCTTGTCGTTTTCAGCGGAAAAAAGAGTACATGATAATCTGACCGTTGGAAACAGTCGTGTCTGAAAATGTGCCAGTATTAACGAATGGAGGAAATTCTTCGTGCTTGTACGTGTTGCATTGGTTCTTCGCATTAACTATGGTAACAACTTCGTCTATCCGTCAAAATAGGTGAACAGGGCAAATGTGAGAGTTCTGAGTTCGTGTGATTTAATTGTGCTCACACACAATTTAAAACAATGTGATTAAGTTTGCACAATCGATCTGAAAATCCGCAATGGATTGGAAGCACGGACCTATCGGTCGGGGACTCACATGTTACATTCTGGGTCTATCCAGGTCCGTTCGAGGAAACCCACTCTGTCTAGCACGGACGTATTTACTGATGGTATTGTGAGGTGATTTGGTAATTTTCAATTGAAATTTCGTCCACTGTATGCTTACGAGCTGGGGGCACCATGCGACTGTTTCATTCTCACTGCGAATCTTCTCCACTGCACCCCTCACGAGACCCAGAGTGACGATCACGCAACCCTTCGACCAGGGGTATAATACATTACCGCTTGGCCACGCTTATCGCTTGGCACTTTAAGCCCTATATAGTTTGTTTCCGCAATAGAGGTTGCCGAAACATTGATTTTACACAGGCCTCAGCTTAAAAACTACACAAGAATTCTAAGCAAATCAGGCTGGGATTCTTTTGAACGCGGAGTGTATTCATTTACTCAATAAATAATGCAGTTCTCAACGCAGTCCCTGTTATGTTCAACTTATTCTGTTTTGTGAATTATGAAACCCACCTTTTTATTACTACTGAGCGAAAAATCTGTCAGAGAATGTTATTCATTTAACAAGTAACATGTATGTATTCGAATACTCCATTAATTGAAATCCCTATCTGTTTTACAGAAAATTATCCGATGTATAGAGGCAACCATCTGTTCGAAGAGGGAGGGTTTACTGCTTGGGTTTGTAGGAACGAAAAACGTAAGTCTTATAACACACAATAAGGATTTGGTTGAAGTGAGTGCTCTACATATGGACGATGTATAGTACGATCATGAACATGTGAACAGCTAAATGTGTTTTTAAGCGGGTCGCACTACACATAAGAGCTCTACTTACACTACATTCTATCACAAGTACCTATCTGTGAGCACTGGAGAAAGTGATGCTCCGGAAGACACAAATAATCCACAACTATTAAGAAAGTGCCCCAGTGGGTTTCAAGCGTCTGTGGTGCTACCTGACCGAGAAACCCTGACAGGCGATGGCACAACCGAGAAATGTTACTGGGTCGTAATTGGAGCATACCACTCAGATCACTCAGGCGTGAATATATTCATCTGTTCAAATGTGAAAATGCAGATGCGTCCAGTGTGCGCTGCTGGAATAGCGAAAGCACTCTCGCCCAGCATTCCAAATGTACGGCTTTCGAGCCCCGGCATGTCCAAGGATAGGATGCACTGCTGATGAGCCCCAATAAGAGTGAAACTTGAGTCCAGTGCCTTCTTCCTTTAGTGTGGAGTCATCAGAATGACTGCGTCAGAATAAGAGGACCACAGTCCAAGCAGAGGTGATTTGAGCGTGCATCCCACAGGTCCCGCAACTACTCACAGATACTTTGAAATTTAGCCTGATTATGTGGCTGAATAAGGGGCGAGTAAGTAGCCCGATTAATTGTGGAATTTTTAAGAGAGCTCTATCAGTGCTTTTGTACTGTTCCTTTAATCTGTTCGTCCACGGTTAGTGTGAAGTCTATGGTCCATGAAGACTGTTCTGGATGAGACGAGGAAATCTCCACTAAAATTCCAGAGTCCTCTCACATTACCAGGAGTGACTACGCTAATCGTCTAAGCTGCCCAATTAACAGATGCCTGCGCTTCATTTTCATGATATCCAAATGGGTTAGATTTGTATCTTGTTGTTATTCTAGCGGCCGTCCTGAGCAGGCCTGCTGTACCGTCCTGACTGATGCGTGTCTTGCGTCGCAGGTTAGTTGAGCAATGCTCCATTGTGAACTTACAGCCTTGGCTGGAGAGATCATATAACACTCTGAGCCTCGTGTTTTGTTAGCAACGAAAACAACTGACACTTTAGCTCACTCAATAAGTCAGCGAATCAGGCAAGCAAGCTTTATCAACTGTATTCCAATATTCCACAGTCGCAATAATGTGAAACTCAGTCAGTAGGTGGGCCATTGTCAGTGTGCATTAGAGGCAGATGAATGTGAGGCATTACCTGGATATGATGGATGCTCACAAATAAACTGCTGGATCCATTCAAGTCCCCTCACATTCGTATATATTTGTCATTCTACACTCGTTCCACTTCACCGAAAAGATTTTGTGACAAAAGAAATGGTGAGTGACTCGTTCACAATAGGTTTCGGTCAAGCGGATTTGGTGCTATCTACCTTATTGTCCTGTATCTTTGTAGCCACAGAGGTCCTCTCCATCCACCACCTAAAACGACCTTCAATATACACGAACAAGCTGTTTCTTGCTCATACCTAGAACACAGCTCAGCAAAAGGACCAACCGCAATCGCGAGCGCTGCAATCAGAACCTAGGGACATCATTCTGACCCACGGGCACCACTCATGTGAAGCTCGGCTTAGAGTTAGCTACACAGTGGGTCGACTAGGTGGTCTTGGAAAAGGTCGGAATCTTTTCAAGATGTAGCTTAGCGTTTTGGCCGTTCTTTGTGTACCGAACCAAAATCCAACAACGTACGTAGGGTAGACGAGTGCCAAAGCTGATAACGTCGCAAATTTGAATGTTTCAACTAAGATGGAAGCAGAAGAATTCGAGAAATACGAGCGTCCTTATAAGAGCATTTTGTACACAATAATGGGCGAGTAAATGGTAAATAGAAAGCCGTGACTTCACAACCCAGCCAAGCTTGAACTACAGACATCACAGATTAACCTAGGTATACGAACACAGGCAAGGAATGAGGAATGTCCCAAGCAGGAGCTCCTTGGAGATGTCTTGCTGCGTGATAGAACAATGACTGACTACATCATGCTAAGTAAAGCCTCCTTAACCTTCGTTGAATTACGTTGGAGCACCTTCAAATCCTGATAAATATGATCACCACTCGTAGGAGATGCACTTGCTCACAAAATAAGGTCAGGGTGTGCTTGTGTGATTTCCACAGAATCTCTAGTTCCAGTTACTGTCATCTCTCTGGAACAGTGAACATTGCTGTACTCTGTGTGTCTTAAATTTTGGATGCGAAAACTTCCACATCAGGAAGAATCCAAACACTTGCTGGTCCGTAAAACGTTTTATATTATGCTAATTCGCGATATAGTCCCTCTCCCAAGAACTGGAAGCGGGTGAATCAGATTCACCTGCTTAACTGCACTGTTGTATTGTGGAGAAAGCATTAGTTAGAGTGTTGTTGGTCACGGGAAGCAGGGATGTAGGCGTAGTACTGTACTGGTGAACTGTTTCTCGTATTGATCGATAGAACGTTTTCGACTGACCAAGTCATATGACCATACTAAATCATTTTCCCCTAAAAGAAACAAATTCATTGCAATCAACAGATAACTGAGCTCGATTCGATCAAAATATCATTTCATTTGATATCAGACTTACACAGTCTGACCGACAAGTGCCTGTCAGCACGGAGCTTTTATTACGGCATTTATTCGTGAGTTCCCGATTCTGTAAGCTCCTTGCGTGCAATGACCAGCATCCATAGGACATACGATTTTGAGAAAATTTGCAAGCATGTAGAAGACAAGCAGGATGGTGGTTATCAGTTTTGTATCATTTGAGGACTCTTTGTCAAGAGTGGCCATTCCATAGCTGGCAGCCGTCGATTTTCGAAATCGACAGGAAAACTCTGTTTTGTCTTTTTGCTTAACCGAATCAAACAACACAATATTTTATTTATTATGTGATCGACTACTGCCTTCTATCTTTCAGTGCAAGGCAATGAGATCATTGGAGAACTCTGCACAGATTTTGAAGGTAGGTACTGTTATTAAAAATCCACTCGTTTCACGCGTGTCAAAAACCTTGGTTTATTCCTTCATTGTTCTCAATCGCCAACCTTCTCGGTTCAGTTGTTCACACATTCTTCCCACTCGCATGCTTTGCCACTTGATTGGGCGAACAATATGTTGGCTGGCCGATCAGCAGTGACATAGGACAATGCGAAAATTGCCCAGTCCGTTGTACTTTGTAGCAGTACCATGAAACGGATGATCTGAAGAGCGATTTACTCGCTCTGATATCGTACTTGGTATAATTTCAGCCACAACTTTAAGGCTACTCCATGGTTGATATCAATTTTTCTATTGCGTCATTTCATGGCGGTCGTGTGACCGCTTCGGCAAACGGCTGATGAACAGCTCACAATGGCTTGAAATGCTTACCTTCATCGGATCTTGGGCCATCTGTATCAAAAGTGTTACGATCAAGGAATTCATATTTATCGGTTTGGTTTATTCGAGCGCTCTAATCATCAACCAGGATAGTAAGCTTCGTGCACTTCTTTATCCTGAGAATTTTGGGGAATTTTCGAAAAATTCGTCCTGTACACCATCTGCACTGCATTTCGTCTGGATGTATGCAGAAATTAAGAACGGACTTTTGTTTTGTTATTGATTATGGATTCTAGCCAAAGAAACCAAATCGGTGGTTCTTCTGTGACTCCCGTTCGTATCACCGTACCAGCATTATGAAGATCACAAAGCGTCGGTGTTGGATCACTGGACATTCTGAAAGCGTAACAAAAGCTTAGTCTGCATACTGAAGGGCCATAATATGGCTGCTTAGAATGCACTATAATCGCCAATGTTTTGAGAGAAAAGGGTATGGGCGAAAGAGTTCTGTCAGCCAGTTCACCACACGACTGTTTGCTGAACACAATCCTAGGAATTAGTAGTGCATCATTGGAGGCAGCGTGTTATTATAGAGGAGGAGAGCAGTTGAGGCTGGCAGAACTAGACGAAAGGGATCGGCCATTGTTCCTAACCCGGTTGCGCGTAGTTCTGAGTCCTGATGCTGAACCCATCATATACGTTTAAACCCATTTCCAGCTCTTAACATGATTTAGATTTTCAGCAACTGACCGACGGTGGTCGTCGTAAGTGTTCAGTTTCCAGGATCAATGGGCCAACTACTTCTACTGGCAGACAATACCGCTAATTTCATAAATGAGGGAACGCTAGTTGTCTTGGCGGATTGCTTTAGTTCCTCCATATTTCTGTCACAAAGGGTGGTCCAAATTTCGCTTCAGACCATCCCTAAAAATACGGGGAATAGCTGCTGGTTGACATCAAAAACATTGTGCAGAGAGCCATTGGAATGATGGATGTTGCTGCTTTCTCTTACTTCAGCCAGCGAGGGTACGTTGTATTAAGCCCGCCTCTACAACAAGCACTGAATACGTCCTCATCACTAGTATTCCGATCACCATGGTGTCAGTGGATACTATTGTTCTATTTATGCCTTCCATCCACCATATGTTCTCGGAACTCCATCTAGTATGCGCATAAGGCAAACCGCAGTACATCGGGGGTGACCTCAATTGTTACGGGTGTGCCGTATTTTTGATCCCGGATAGTTCATTGAATATTCTTCCTTGTACTCAACAGGCAAAGGCAAGAGCTCAGTGTTTCCCTCAAAGTGCGAAATAACTACTTACTTCACTCACTTCACGCATGATTTTACACCTGCTTGCCAGTTTCAGCATGTTCCGTGCGCTCGTGGCTGTTTCCTGCACCCATTCTTCTGCAAGTGAAGGTGGCTACGTTTCCGTTTGTTTTTTCCTTTATCCTCCTCTTCCCCCTGGATCCAGTCAATTATGCACTCATTCTAGATTTACTGAAATGTCTTTTCTCGTATGAGTCACCTAGAAAGACATCACAGCTGTTTGTGTAATCTGAAACTACTGAAAAATATCAAAGATATGCTCTTTTACCTTACGTTGGACCTTTTAAATCCGGGCCGTCACAAAAGAGCTGTTGAGGCTTGAGGTTTTAACTTCTATATACTGTTCTTTGGTCAAGACAGGTGATTGCGCTTGTCTCATGTGCCTCGTTTTGTAACCCGATCTCTGTTTGTCACCTCAGAATATTTCAGTGGTCGAAGACAGCTGGCGACTGCAGAAACTTCGACTGCAGTAAACAGAACTGAGGCAACTGAATCAAGTAGGTTTGGTGCAATCAGAACAGAATGTAACTCTGCATTACATCAGTTATTCCGCGTGTAAACTTGAGGTTGTTTTCCGGCTAGCTTATTTATGGACGTGTTCTGAATTTGACTAGGTTTGGGAACCCTAGGTTCAGATTACTCGAATTATCATGAGACCATGTATTTCATGGTGTTCAGGATAACTCAGTGGTTAAGGCGCGAACTTACTGACCGGAAGGTCCATGGTTCCAATCCAATCCCGGCATCTAGACTACCCCTGTCTAGGCCTGGGCCACCCGGCTCTCGTTTCTCTCTCGGATAGCATAGCTACTAGGCACCGGAAATGTGCTACAGCTGAACGATTTTTCAATTGGCCCATGTGGCACAGAATATTAGATGGGCACAAACGACCACATTTTGATATAGATCATGCCGATATCACTTTTACACCGAAATGTCCTGGCATGAACGTTTCATTCAAGAAAATTTTCACTCTTGACCACGGGAGGAGTGGAACATTCGTTTTATGGGGGAATCTAGACACTGTGTCCATTGAGTTTGTATGGATGTCTACAGAATCACAGGTAAAAGAGGGACTGGACAGGACTTTGTTCACTCGAGTTTCATTGTAAGAGTCGATGTGGTCGGAGCTAAGGCGACGCAGAGCGAACCTCTTCGAGGGTCATGTAGGCTTTCGAAGTTTTATCGTCTCAGTTTTGTGACACGCAGCTCAGGAAGCTCATGTGAACTAACATGTGTTTCCCTATGTGGTCTCTCTATCCCCACATCACCTGGGTGTTGAGAAGTCTAGTCGTTATTCGTACGAGGACTATGACAACGATTCACAAACTGGCAGGGAACTATAAGTGGTTCGGGAGGGAGAAAAATTCACATGACTAGTGATTCTTCTGTCTAAAAAATCGTCACTCAAGGCCACAGTCGGCATGTGACCACGTGATGGAGGTGATGAAAGCCGAGTAGCACTATATCCCGTCTATCTGTGTGACAATTTGACATCCACTCGTGGCCGAATGGCGTAGTCTTTGATTTCTGTTCTGGAGATCGCAAGTTCGAATAGCCCTGGAGATTAGTGAGATATATAGAGAGAGACAGTGATACAGATACAGACATTGTTTCTCAACTTTCGGCATAGAGTGACTTCCAAGTACAGTACGAAATCTTCATGGAAAAATTCACAAATCTTGTCATTCCGTCAATGAACTAAGTTAGCTGGACAAAACTCAGTCTGACCTTCAATCATCCGCAAAAGTTTTGTGGTTGTTAGATTACGTTTTCTGGGTGATTGTGTGCAACCAATAATGTAGCAGTGAAATAGTTCATCTATAATACACTATGTATATATTCAACAATTGTTTTCTCCCTTCAGGTGACGACAATAAAACAATGCTGATGAGAATCTGCGAGGATTACTACGGTGAGCTGTTACTGCAGTAAGGTTAAATAGATGCATGACAAGCGTTAGTAGGGACAGAATAAACAAAACGGTCGCCT